CCAAGCTACTAACCAGTCCTAGTTAGAAGCGTTCTAGATGGAGAAAGCCGACACAAAGCGGGATGTCCATTTTCGAGCGATGCGAGGCAAGGATATTGCAGTAAGATGGAGAAAGCCTTTGCTTCGGCGAAACTACCTAGGTACTCTCCCCGGTATGTACTTCGCATTGGCGCGCTTCTTGCTTTGCATTTACGGAGTACGGAGGTACGTTACGGAGGTACGCCGTATTCTGGAAGCTCAGGCGAAGGATTTATCCCCGCCTCTTTCAAGGATGAAGGCATAAATAACGATGATTGCGTCCAAGGAAGATTACTTGAGTTTTATTCCGTTACGTATATAATGAGGTTATAGAGAAGGATCTTTGCATTGGTCTTTGTGACTTTTCTCTAGAGAAACAGATACTGCCGGTGGACCGGTAAGTCGTCGTATTTCAATACTTGTAAAGGGCCTTTTATATTGGATATTGGATTACTGTACATTAGAATTTGGAAATTGGAGATTCAGCTTCAGCTTCTTCTCCACTATTAGGACTCCACATTCAGCGGCACCGATTAATGAGATGAGACCAGTTCAATTTCATGGCATCGCATCGCATCACCAATCATCCATGATTGCCTCAATGTATCATCCACGTTACCCTTCCTTATCCGACCGGTACTTCAGCACCTGCTCTCCTACAAGTTGTCGAAAGCCCGGATCCAGTACCATGTCACCACTGCTCCAGCGCAGAATTATACCGAGACTGCGAGGTAGAAGATGATGCGATCTCGGACTACTAAATGTACGGACTACTAAATGAACGGTACGAAGTACTGTGCGAGTATTGTATCGTCAACGTCACGAATCTCCAACGAAGATGTTTCGGGTCCCCCGCCCCGTGTCCTTCCGTAACACCCCGAGCGGCGAGCAGCCTCTTCTTTCTCCACTGGGACTCCCCACTCTGGAGTAGTGAGGCTCCACTTACTAAGCCCCAGATACGGTCCGAAGAAGGGCCTCTTCTTTTTTTTTTTTTGCCTTCTTCTTTTTTTCTCTTACGCAAATTTGAATTTGCAAAGACCGGGCTCGGGAGTCGGGAGTTCGGTCGGTGGCTCGGGCAAACTGACCGCTGAATCATTCCTTTGAAAAGAAGAGACCCGATAATTAGAGTCATTATTTCCTTTCTCGGCCAATTGTTTAACTAAGCCCCTCCTTCAACAAGGAAAATTTTCAAGACTTATTACGTCTTTTCATTTTCATTTTCTTGGGGTTTGCGCTTAGGGTTTGGTGGGGAAACCCAGCGCATATCAGGTTGAGTCATGACGACAGCCCGCTTTGGGGAATGCGTACAGTACTGGACAGATAGCGGGCGCGAGTCAAGTCGTGTTTTACTGTACTGTACAGTATTGTGCCTGTCTATCGATCGCCTCGTGCCGTGGTCTGATCTGGAGCTGGTGGGATGGGGTTGGGTGGTGTGGGGCAAAGCTTATCAGGACGCCGGTCGGGCGTCGTGCCTGGACCGCACCGCCCCCGGAGAAATCTCGTCGAGTTGTTTGGTGCGTCACTTGGAGAAGGTGGTGCGAGGTGCGAGGTGCGTGGTATGTGATGTCTCGCCTGTGGGGGGGGAAGGGAAGAAGGGAAGCTGTTGCTGTATCAAAAGGTGGCTTTTCACACGTGCGTAAAGCGATTTGATACGTGAGGGAAACAACCGCTTCTTCGAGCTGCTTGGCAGTGGGGGCACTGGACTGGACTGGACTGGACTGGGGAAAGAAAGGGTTTGATGGAATCTCAGCCTCATATGACGAGGCTGGCTGGTTCATTTGTTGTCTTGTCTTGTCTTGACATAATATCAAGCGCCCCCCTTCCTCCCGAAACAGACGGGAGTGAGTATCCATCCAGACCGTTTCTCTATAAAGAGAAACTATAATATGAGAATCTAACCAAAGACGGGATTGCAAGAAACAAATTACTAAATAACCCTAAAACCTGATATCCAGCCCCGAATACCCCAGATTCCGTGCTGGATGATCTCCCGGCTCTCTTCCCAAGCAGTCGAGGAAGGTCGTCGGCATGACCTATCAGCCTGTTATTATCCTCTCCTTATATAAACATCATTTACATAATGTAAATCTCACATAGAGGACTGGCTCCCTGCTATAATTAAATTATTTTAACATGCTCCTTCCTCGCGCGGACGAGGAGCAGTAAACAAATCAAGTCGTGTCGTTCGTTTAACTTATGCCTACAAGTAGACAGACGAATTCGTTACTCCGACGAGTCAGGCCTGAAACCTGACTCGTCAGTCTTTCATTCGATGTTCCCTCGAGTGTCGCGTGTATGTAGCGTACTAATAATAAATAGATACCCAGGCGCCAAAACTGACAGGTGCTGTAGCATTCTTTGCAGTTCCTTACCTCTTTGGGGAGTCCGGAATGAACGAATGCTGGGGAAAGGAGGGTGGTGCTGTATTTTATTTTTATTTATTTTTAATCTCTTCTTTCATTCCTACCAGCCCAGTTAACTGGATTCCGGGGAAGCCTAATCCCCCACGACGCCCTTCCCCTGCCCTGCTTTGCACTGCACACTCTGCACTGCGCCTCCTTGAGGTATTCTGGAAAGGGGGGTCAAGGGGTTTCATAGGCTCGAGAAGGGTGAGGTACAGTAGGAATGTGAGGTGAGCATCCTGTATACGCGTAGAGTGAGGGAGTGAGCGCTTACGAGTTGCTCTTCTCGGGTCCAGGCTGGCGGCGCTTCCTGCTTCGTATATGAAATGGTCTGTCGTCTCCGTGAAGTGAAACAGTGTTTGAGAATCATATTCTCATCGGTGAGTCGATAGGTAGGTAGGTAATAATAAGAGAGAAAGGTACGTATTGGAAGGGATGTAAAACAGGAAGGCCCCAATTTATTTTCTTAATTCCCCACGTTTCGCTCGCACAACTCCGGTTGTCTGTCTGTCTGCGACGGCGACTGCGACTGCGACTGCGGTTCCCGGACTTTGGGTGTGGCTGACGAGGCAGGTCGGGGCTCCCCGAGTTTATATGCAGTCATATTATTCAGCTTTGGGACTCTTTTGGAAACTGAGGGAGACAAGGGGTGGAGATGGGTATAATAGGGCAGGTCTTTGTCAGATTATACTTCCAAGTACCGAGAATGAATGAAGCTGATGATCTCAAGGGGCTACTGTATACCTTGCGGGGTGAGGCGCTGAAGATATGATGTGATGTGATACAAGATGGGGTGAGTAAGTGTGGGGAAGACCAAGCAAAGCAAAGTAGCATTTTTTTACTACTCCATCCTCTAGGATTTAATCTAACTGCATCAAAGGCTTAGTAAGATAGATATCTTTCTACTCCGTAATACTACCTTGATCTCAGCTATCTCACTTACTTACTCGAGTGAATAATCGCTCGTGCAGGTTTAGGGCTCAGGTTACAGAAGTATTTTATCTTACACGATATTACCCCATCAGGACTAGACAACCCCCTGGATTGCTGGCGCTCTTTCTCCACTTCCGTTTGACGAGGCGAAAAGGGAAAATGGTGCAATGCCGGATAACCACAGAAGTCGTAATTAGGTCGTCGGCTACCAGGGCAATCAACCAGTCGAGTAGGCGTTCTACTAGTTCAGTAGGTAGTATCTTTCAGAATACTGTACACGTCAATTCCATGGAATATTGAGTTCCAAGTAAGCACGTAGAATCACTCTATTCTTAGCGTTCAGATTCCTCGATTTTCTTACAATTTCCCCACCAAGCAAGCCTAAACGCTAAGTAACTCTTGTCTTTCGGCATCATTATGAGAATCATCTCACCACTGGTGCAGGACACACCCACGCCCTCTTCTCCACCGCCCCGCCAAGCAGGAAGAAAGAAAGCCCTGCAGACCGAACACGCGTAGTGCTACCTGGTACAAGCAGAAAAAAAGAAAGGAGTAAATGAGGCAGCAGCAGTACAGGATGGAGCGGAGTAGGGGAAGTAAAGAGCGGTACTTGTGCATGTACCACCATATGTACAGTATATACCCCAGATACCAGGATATGATATACCTTTACCCTTGGTATAGTGACAGCTTTAGTTATTTTATTTGTTTATGCTTTACCGCCTACAGTTACCGCATTGTCTTGCTCCGCACCCAGGGCTCCCTAGGTATTTATTTTTATTATTATTATTACAGTACCTTGCTATCGGTACCCCTTACTTCTACTCACGCTGCACCCACACTTTCTTTCACGCTCACTACCTAGGTAGGAGTAGTAGGTAGTAGGTACTTGTCCTGTCTTGTCTTGGTTTGTCTTGTCGTGTCTTGCCTTGCCTTGTACTTTACTTGCCGGACACACACCCCGTCAAACCCCACCCACGCCCACGCCCACCCGCAAAACACTCCATACATACGGAGGCGCACTACTGTAAAATACGCTACTTACTGTACGCATCTGGCCTTGCTGGATATCTATTATCTACCCTGTCATACTTACCCTACTGTACCCCCCCCCCCCCCCTACCACTACTCCACACAAATTATCGAACCCAGCACAGTGGAGTGGCCCCTTCCTTCCCTTGCCCTTCCCTTCCCTTTCCCCTTCCACCGTTTCCCTTGCCGTGGATTCCCCTTGCCCAGCCTGCTCCTGCCCCATCCCATCCGCCGGTCTATCCAGCTCACCTACTACAGCGTCTCCACCCCGTCCGTATAAAGTTCACACCCCCCCTCGGCACGTCTTCTCCTCCGTCTGCTGCCCCGTCATCGCCAATATAACGAAAGGAATTCACTACTGATTTTATCACCCACGCACGCACCCATCCATCCAACCCACCAACCCACCCACCCTTCTCAACTCAACTCGATAACATTCTCCTTCCTCCATATCCACCCAAACAATAATCAGTAACAGCATCGACTAGACTAGAGCGTTTAATCTTTTTGTCGCAACGTCTCGACTTTACTCTACAACCACCACCACCCATCCATCCTCGTCGCTCCGGCCGATCAAAAAAAAAAAGGGACGGTTTTCGCTGCGGCGGCAATCACATGCAACGCGCATCTTCCGCAGTAGATTTTGGAAGTCTGCTGAATCCACAGACACAACAAGAGCGAGAGCAGGAGGCAGCGCGAAGAAAATTAGCTGAGATCCAGAGGGTGCAGCTCGAAGCAGAAATGGCAGCCGTGAGCATGATGCCACCGTTGATTGGAGGGCAGCATGGAGAAGACCGACAGGACTTGCCTCGTCCCTACAAATGCCCCTTGTGCGACAAGGCTTTCCACCGTCTCGAACATCAGACAAGACATATTCGAACACATACTGGAGAGAAGCCGCATGCATGTCAATTCCCGGGCTGCACAAAGCGCTTTTCGCGGTCAGACGAGCTGACTCGACACTCGAGGATACACAACAACCCCAACTCAAGGAGGAGTAACAAGACACAACAATCTGTCCAACATGCTGTGCAGAATGGAGGTTTGGAACAGGCATCCATGGCTCAAATGATGCCACCGCCAAAGAACAGCATGTCACGATCCGCGCCTGCATCTGCTCTCGGTTCCCCCAATGTCTCCCCTCCACACTCCTACGCCGCATACTCTACCCCGTCCTCATCTCTTAATCCCTATGGTCGGAGTCTAGGAGGCAGTCCGAATAATGGTCAGAATCTCGATATCAACCTGCTTGCCACCGCTGCTACCCAAGTCGAGAGAGAAAGCACCTTTGCTACACATCACCCCCATCACAACTCGAGGCATCACCCTTACTACAGCCACAGCAGTCAGAACAGTCGGAATCACCTTCCTTCACTGTCGGCCTATGCGATGTCGAGATCACATTCCCACGAAGAAGACGACCACTACTCGCACAGAGTCAAGCGCTCAAGACCAAACTCGCCGAATAGCACTGCTCCATCTTCGCCCACCTTTTCGCATGACTCGCTCTCCCCAACACCCGATCACACCCCTCTCGCCACTCCAGCACACTCTCCCCGTCTGAGACCGTATGGCGGTGGATACGATTTGCCAGGAATTCGCAATCTGACATTACAACATACACCTGCGCTTGCTCCTATGGAGCCCCAACATCTCGACGGTCAATACCACAACAACAAAACAACTTCGGCTCCAAGAAGTGGTCTCACGATCAGTGATATTATGGAGAGGACAGATGGTACGCAGAGGAAACTACCAGTTCCGCAAGTACCAAAAGTCGCAGTGCAAGATCTCTTAACTACGGGCGAAAACGGTTTCAATTCAAGTGGGCAAAGTAGTACAACAGGCAGTGTTGCAGGAGGCGATTTGATGGACCGGATGTGATGGAACCGGGAAGTTCTATGCGCATAGAAAGATAGAAATGCCACCGAGGCGTTTCGACATTCACAACTCAATATACAATAATTCTCCTCGACGACCTGTCCCAACCTGCTAGATGGTATATGGGCTCGAGATCTTTACTGCAACTCAGTTTACGGCTTACCACTTTGTGTGTATTCATAGAACAGCGCCCACGCAAATAGACTTTTCTTTTCTTTTTCTCTTCTCGGCTACTGGGGTTTGAATGGAGGAGGTACTATGATAACTTTACGACATGTTTCTTTTCTGCTTTACTTTTGTTTTGCTTGCAGTCTTGTTTCTTCAGCGTCGTCTAAACACATCATTCTATAGATTGGCTGGGCATAGGGGCTCGGAACGGAGTAGGCACGCGTTCAAGCCAGCTAAGGCATGGTTTATCGCGTGGATGGAAATGCAAATGCAAATGCAATATTACATACTTGAAAACTTGTACATACCGTACGTGCAGACAGTACGATTTTGGACCGCAGTCTAGACTTTGGCATGTGATTGTGATTGTGGATTGTGTGCATGTGCCTTGTGATATTATAAAGGGGGGGAGGGAAAGAGCATGTGAACGATAGATGGATGGATGGATGGATGGTATGGATAACAAGTTCTGGTCAGGTACCATCTTCACATGACGGCCCCTCGAGTCCCTCCCCTTACGAACTCTAAGGTACTCGGAAAGACATGCGCTCCCGTCGGCAGTCGGTAGTTGAATATAGATAGCATTACGTTATAAAATATATGGTTAAATAAGTAAAATAAAGTCTACCGTATATAAGTGTTTTCTTGATTTACAAGGTGTTGTGTTTTCATAAATACTGCTGACTGCAACTTTCCACTTATAGTCAATATGTGACTATAGTATTACTCCGTACTGTACAGGGGGGTATCTTATCAACTAAAAAGGCCGGCCCCTAGAGATGCCTTCTTTAGGGATCAAAGTATATATAAAAAGCCCCGTTTAATAGTAGGATAAGGTGCGGGATTCCATATATACATAGTCTATTTGGAGAGGAGATTAGATTAAGCTGATTCTAAAAGGAGGTTGTTTACTTGTATACGAGAGTTGGGATTGGGGATTCTACGGAACGACTGGCTGGATAGGTAGGGGTTATGGAAGGGAACTTGGTAGGTAGAGAGAGGTATTTGTACTAGGTATTAGTAATATGGTGTAAGGTAGGGATTGTACTGTATAGTTACCTAGTTATGTGCAAGGTACTTGGTTATACATACACACGCAAGGTTGCTGTAGAAGAATTACGAATATCTCCTGATTCCCCTCTCAAACCTTACGATCCCGCTGCGTGCTTGGTGGGCAGAGAGGGGAGCATGTCTACATACATGCATACATCCTTTACTTCGAAGCACATACATAGCATAGCATCCGTCGGTACTTGTGCGGTGAGGTCCGGGAGTTGGAGTAGGTGGGTGAGGAGGAGAGGGTGAGGTTGGGTCGCTTGCGGGTGTGTCCCGCTTCCCCTTGCTTGCTTTGCCTTGTGTTGTGTTGCATGTATGGGCATGGAGAATGGAGAATGGAGAATGTAGAAGAGCGAGGCGGGGCGAGGCGGGGTGGGGTGGGCTGATGTGAGATGGATGACATGAGATGAGATGGGTGTAGCGGGAGCGGTAGAATAGATAGATATTACGCCGCTGTACAAGTACATCTATATGCTTCATGCAAAAGGTTTAGTACGGAGTATCTCTCTACGTATAGTTTGGTATAGTACTATAGCAAGAAAGGAAAAAAGAAAAAAGGGAATCGGGGGGTTTTCATTCTTAGGTTCTCGGGTTCTTGAGCTAGTCTGTATGGTTTTTGATGACTCGTATATAACTTACTCTTTTTCTTTCTCTTTCTCTTTTTCTTTAGCTTATAGCTGCATGTGTATACTTGGTCGGGTTTCACAAGTGAAGTGAAATGAGGGGTTTGAAACGTTTTGTTTCGTACGGTTATAGCTTACTTGCTTGCTTGCATTATAAGTGTAGATAGTCCTGCTGTTGCTGTATACCCATTCTTATATTCTATTCAGCTGAACAAGGGTCGGCTCTTTTCGTTCATCCATGATACCGATCAGAGTACGAAGTTGCCACTTGCTAGCTTTGATCTGATTGGTTGGATAGATGGATGAAAAGCTTTTTCTCTATTACTACTACTTCTACTGCTACCTTATGCTGTGTTTGTACATTTCGATTTTGTTTTTGTATGGTTTGTACATGGGCTCGCCAAGCAATGCAATGCAATATTCAGCTCGGTAGACAAGTGCCTATATGCTGCATACATATGCACCGAGTGCGGTGCGGGCAAGGCAAGGCAAGGCGGGGCGGGGCAATTTACCTTTCGGGATGTCGTGCATATATATATGGCGGGTATATATATTACAGCTGCTACTGCTGCGCGCGCACGATGCATATTTCGTTCCAGGATGCGTATAACACGGCGGGGAAGGAATATGCATATGCGCATGTATGTATGCATTTGCTCCAGACAGAAGTGATCCAAGTGCTTCGACTTTCTTTCGAATCACGCTATAGGACGCGCAGTACGCTGCACTTGATCCGAAGAAAACAGTTTTTGCTTCGGTGATCAGTTCTTCTTGCATTCTATCAGATGAGGTCAGATCAGATCACACAAGATGACAGAGTTTTTTGGGCGGGGGTGTGCGGGGAAGGGGGACACTTCGTCGCGTGGAGATGTTGTAGTGCATGCGGGCGCGCAGGGCAAGGCAGGGCAGCGATCAGCGATCAGCGAGAATATATTAATTGATGGAATAGGCAGCGTTTAAGTATATTGATTTGCTAGCTATAGTAGACTTTGTTGATTGTGCGCCAAGGTGGTTGCTTGTGTATGGTGATATAGCCGCCTGGGTGAGATGGATGGATGGACGTTCTATAGCCGCAGATGAGAGAGATACTTTCCTTTGTCTCTATTCCGCATTTTGCATTTTGCATTTTGCATTTTACAGTACTTGTTGTCTACCCGTGGGCTCGGTTGGGAGAAGAGAAACTTGTCGATCGGGCATCTATCTATATTATGTTGTGACACGTTCGTCTCAATAAGGCTGAACTCAAACTCGTGTTTTTTCAAAGGATATCTGAAAACCGACTGGTGGATCCGAGAGAGAAAGAGAAAGAGAGAGAGAGAGATGATACATAGAAGTTGAGGCTGAATTACCAGATGTTGGTGGCGTTTGGGCTTGGAGAGCTGAGATTTGGCTTTGAGTTGACTCAACCTTTCGTAACGATGACTCGAAGGAACGGGAAGGAGGTACTGTAGCAGTGCTCTCTATGCGATGAGATTGATTCGGAGGTCGGAAGTGAGAGTGAGTGAGTGAGTGAGGGGTTTGTGTTGTGTTACTGTGCTGTGCTACAAAACTGTTTCGATGTCCGGGTATGGCACGGGTGTAGCAAATGTTATACATGCGAGCTGAATCGGTGCTGGGTCTAAACCCACGTTGGAGACTCGAGATGAAGGAATGCAATGCATAGGGATGGTCCAGGTGTGTTGTTAGCAATTGAAGAAAGAAAGAAAAAATTGAAAAGGTTGAAGAAAAGCAGGCATGCACTATGGGGAAACAGAGAGCTCGGGAGGAATAGGTGCGGGAAAGGAAGTGGCTTGCAGGTTCTGAAAAACGCAGGGGATCATGGAACATGTTCTTTCTTTAGGTACATTTGCTAGATTCTGGACGATCTTTTAAGAGTCTTGCAAATACATTACTAGTAAGTTTAATGTATACACCTAAGAATAAAGCCTAGGAAGCCCAAGTCATCTATAAACGTAACTTCAACACCAGAAAACAAGGAAAACTAACTCCATGTTTCTCTACTTCCGGAAAAAGTAGCAGCGAGGTAACATTGCAAACACATGAACTTTTAGTACATGCAAATGTACTTATCCTTATATATAACCAGACATAGTCAGAACTCGGGATAGAGAGGCGCTCGGGTAACTCCACCTTTCATCTGAACCGTAGTACATTTCGAACTGGGGTTTCCCCGGTCCCTGTACATATCCATGGAAGAACTTCTATAACCAAGTTTGTTAAAAGGGGCAGATGATTCTCCGGCGCCGGTTGCAGAGTATGTGCAATGCTCCCGTTCTTGCAGCCGGGTGTGTTGCACGAAACAAAGATGCGGGAGAGCCGTTTCAGGGGTTTGTGAGGGTACTTACTTGTACATGGTCACATTTTACAGTATAGAGTACCTACTTTGCGATATCTAGAGCGTTTTATACTTTGATATTAACCTGCTTCTCTTGCAAGACGCTTAGAGACTGCTTGCTGAACGGCGGGGGGAGGGGGGGTTGTCCGGCTGCATATCCATATATTAAAACGCATTGCTGTGGTTGATTATGTCCGCTGTTTGGCCCGGATGGGATGGTGTTATTTAAGGGCCTGCATATTATTGAGGGGAATATTATAAATTGAAATCTGAAATCTTACTCCCTCCTTTCGGCGAGGCTGGGGAAGGTTTTCTCTATACTTTCACTCCATGTTATGCTAGAGATGGAAACATAGAGAGGGGCACGACTTCATGTATTTATTACTCGAATATTATCAATCTGATATGTTTAAGTTTCCAGAACTCATTCAAACGTCTAGTTAAAGACTTACTAACTTAAGAAGAAAAGCACAGCCTTGCTAAAAGGTAGAATTTTGCTATAGTATAGTACTTCCTAACTGAATTCTATTCATAACATCCGCCACAGAAGCCAATATCATTATCGCAAACAACTAAAGTACAAACACCGCCGCTTAGGGCACTCCGCAGTTCGCATTCCCATCCCTCCTCTTAGCCTCGCACCAAGCTCCTCCGAGCTTTCGTGATTTTCTATAGTGGTAGATCGGATCGGATTATTACCTAAAACAAAGCGACGATCTATATATAACTGCGTCATCATATCCATTCATCCTATCTACATAGGACGGCTGCTTATCAGTTCCACGTGCTTAATGATCTGCGCTTGTGATTCGTGGATTTGGAGACGGAGGAATTATGGTTTTCTTGATACGAGACGAGATAGGATGCGTTATTAGAGCAAGGAGCTTGCAAGATCTAGGGGCCTGGACGGCAATATATCTTTAGAGAGAATTGGGAGTGGTGTTAGGATACGATGGGATAGGAGGGGATGTAATAGTAAGGTAGGTGGAGCTAGGGCTCGGCTCTCCACAATCTGGGGAATAGAATAATGTGGGGGTATATATGAGCAAGAAAACATGGAGTACAGGAAGCAGTTGGCCCATACTATGATAATAGTAATAAACTTTAATTGGTGCACTTCACCCTTGCGCATATTTTCCGTTCTTACAAGTGCTAAAATTGCCATTTGTTGAAATATAAGAACGTCGCTGAACTGCCGTGGTACTAAGTCCAGCCCAGCTCATTTTTAGCGTTATCTTGATCTAAGTTTTCTATTTTAGTAGCGGTCGAATTTCAGCTCCATCTCATCTTACGTCGTACGACTTTCGGACGAACATTCTCGGGGCAATTTCTTGACCAACTTCTTGGTTTTAGAAAGGGACGAAGAAAACGAAAAAGAAAAAGACTAAATGAATATGGAGGAACGAACGAAGGGTGCGGGGAAGGAGGTAAGGTATATAATGGCGTGTTTTGGCTTAGAGTGGCATGTTAAGTGCTGTGTTATGTTGTGTTGTACATTCGGTACGTGCTTGTACAGACACGATACTCGTACTTCCCCTCTTCCGTCGCGATACCCCGTACTATCTATACTGTACACCGCCGGGACACCCCGCCATCTTCGTCACCGCTACTAGGTACTCCGTATGCATGTATGGTACGTTACTCCGTACCCCACACCAAATAAACGTAGCGTGGAGTCCACTCTAGTTTCTGGGGGCCAGGTCGGACCTGGATGGGCAGGAATTGCCGTTTCGGGTAGCTGGAGGGAATTAAATTAGTGAGTAAGCAGGCAGGATGGTAGCAGGATATCGATGAGATGATCTTAAGTAAGAGTATTGCTTTTAGATTATTATTCTGTCTCTCTCCTAGATCTACCTACCTACTACCTATAGTATAACATTTCTAAAGCCATACATAGTACTAGTGTGTCGAAATGGCATCCTTTCTCTACCCCAATCTGACAATTGCATACTCCGTACCTGTAATTCTCTAATATGGGGAAGCCTCATCCGCGCTGCCTATTATCTTTTCTATTCTTCCGACCGAATACGCAGGTACGAGAGGGGTGGGAGTAGGGGTCTATATAGTATAACCGGTGAGACGATGGTACTATACTACAAGCTGGGAGAATAACGTGCATACTATGCCGCATAATACTACGATTCCCACTTCTTTTCCTCTATGTTTTCTTTTAGCTGTTTATAAATTCTAGCTTTTTTTTCCTTTTCTTTTCTTTTCTTTTCTTTTCTTTTCTTTTCCCCGCGCGAGACTCATCGTATATGACACGGGGGTAGAGGGGGTGGGATGGAAGGTGGGGTATACAAGTGCGGTCCGTAACGTAACCCCGAACTAACGGTCGAGATCTAGATTCAGAGCAGAGCGCCTCCATTTCGCAAATCTGATTTGAGCTGATCTGAGCCAAGCTGAGCCAAGAATCTGGGGAACAGGATGGAGAATGTATTTTTGTTTCACACGAGTGATATCGGAGGTAAAGTAGATTGCATGTAGCTATGTTATGCATATAATTAATAAATTCTTAAAAGTAGTACTATACCAGACTAGTACTGCCTTATAGGAATATAATATATTTAACCGTACTAAGGTACCTTGTATCCCATGTTACGGCATTAGGGTATATAGAAGATATATCAATTAGAAGAACCAGGCTCAGGTAGGCGGATCCACGCTAAGGTACCACAAGGAATAACACAACATAACATTCTACCTACCGACTCTACTCCGTCGTGAAATTCCCCTCCTTCCCCTCAACGCCTCCCGTCGCTGGTTTCATACGACGTACATAGGTACTATACAGGATTACCAGCCTACAGTACCTACCTCCTTACCGCCTCGGGAAATCTCCTACCAAAGCTTCGGATCTTCGCGCCTCTTTCTCTCATTCACCCGCTCGTCTGTCTGCACATATATGCATGTATGCGCCGCATTGGATTTCATGTACATGTACATGTACTAGGTACAGAGAACGTGTTTTTAATTGATCGGTAATAGAGGATATGGTAGATAAAACCAGGTCGTGTTTGCACTTGTATGGACTCACGGAGTATGGATTTGACTGCATTGAATTTTTTGATAAAAAACAAGCACCAAATGAAATTACCTACGCTACAAACGAGCTGATCTACCCACCTACACACCTGCAGTGATTCATTGATTGATTGAGTGATTAATCGACTAGACTTTCAACATCTTGGCATGATGTTTCTCGTATTCGCACCTGGAGAAGAAATTAAACGTGAAGGTGCGAATAGGCTAAGAAACACTTAAGCCAGGCCTGGCTAACGGAGTATTATAATATAATACATACTCCGGTGTTAGTGATTAAGTATCATTTAGTAAGAGATGTTGACTCACTTTATAACATTAGGTTATATTGCTTTTTGCTTTTTGCTTTTCACCGCTCGCGTAGAATAACACACCGCTTACTCCGTACTGTAGCGGATCTTGGGATTTGGATCATGTTGGAATCTATTACTAGCATGAGAGGATCTATAGCATGGCGGTGAGATGACACGGTATGGTATCGTATGGTACTTAGCCTGATGTGGGGTGCATCGTGCATGCATATTGGCATGACGCAAATTGAATTGGTGACGGACGCCTCAACTTTTCAATTGATGAATGAGAATGCTTTGTATGTATTTATGCTGAGGTGTCCCTTTGATGGGATGGATAGAAGCAGGAGATCGCACAGAGGTATGAAGAATGAAATGAGGAAATGATCGCGTTGAGTCTGCTGTGTACATGTCCGAGCCGCAGTTTCTTCATTCCATCAATGAATGAACAGAGGTAAAGATGTCAGCTGGCTCTTGGGTAACTGTGATCGACAGAGGAGCAATAATTCCATATGCTCTGTGGGTTGGATCTGCGCTCAACTTCGAAACGAGATACTTAAAGCGTATCTACGACAGACAACGTTGCATTGCGGTCGTTGTGCGAGGGCGGGCATGAGGTACAGAGACTTTGCTTGAAGCATGACTGCGCTATTGAGACTCCCTAATGCCTTCTCCTGTCAACAATTTGGTATACTGTGGCAGCTTGTAGCATTATCGCATTGTCCTGCCTCTGAAGCACGAGCACGGCATGTCTTTTCCCACCACTCTTGAATGGCTGAAAAGGCCGCTCCGACGCTTTTTGAATCACATCTGCATGCGTATGGTTTTGTCTCTGCTTCGTACGTCCCGAACAATCCGGGCCTGTTTAAGGTACTTTGATTTCAACTTCTTGTTCTTAGCGTGAAAGGGAAAGCAAGGAGCAAGGGAAGTTTTGCAAGCACTAAAGCCAGACTTCTTAAAGTCAAAGTAAGCTCTTGTAGAAGAAATAGACGAGTCAAATGAAAGGGGTGTTTAGCAACCTCGGACTTTGTCAAAGAGCAAGTTCATCTTCGCTATCATCTATCTCTTCTTTCGGGCCCTCTTCCTCGCCCTCTACTTCATCTTCTTGTTCCTCCTCTGCGTCTTCAACTTCAAGCTCTCCTTGAGGAGGTATCAAGATGTCCTCGCTGCCTTGCCATTGTGGTGGCATGACAGGCACAGCCTCCTCGTCGTCTTCAGCCCAACCGTAGTCTTCATCATCTTCGCCTTCACTATCTGGCACCTCAAGGTCAGTTGCTGAAATCTTTCGTTTCTGCGGGAGGATTGGAGTGGACGGTAAATTCCTTGCCGCTGGAAGTTGTGGGCGGGAGGGGTCGAAAAGAGTGGTTGATGGTAGATCTAGAAGCTCCAATCCATTCTGAAATGATGTCAATACAATAAGAACCAACGTGGTTGTCGAGCAGATTGTGAGAAATGTCAACGTCTTGAACTCTCGGAATAGAAAACGTGGTAAACATACCTCATCGATGAAGAACCCCACCACCTTCTGTCTCCCATCAGGTAGAGCAGTTCCTTCAGCCTTAATGACTTGGGCTAACCTCACATTATTTACGGCTTGTCCATCTTCATTGTTCCATCCCCAGTCCCTGAATAAAGCAACTCTACAACCGAGACCTTGCTCCCACGCAGTAGTGCTGACAGCGGGGACAAGAACTGCACCACATCCTGGACGCATTTTCGTCACACATTGTGATAAGACGACGACGGCGATATTGCGAGTCGCGGCGAGCTTCTGAAGGGTGTTTGTTAAGGATTGAAGAATTGGAAACTTCCGTGCGGCAGGATTTGGGGCTGATTCTGTCAGCTTAAGTCTGTCGTTGGAAGGAGCAGGATACCTTACCTCCAGATCTTTTAGGAGCTCCGGTAGCATCTACGGTGCGAGAAAAAGCTGTGGTGATTAGCGAGGAGAATGAATCAATGATGATCAAGCTGGTATTTGGCGCTGGATGGTTTTGGGATGTCCGCGAGAAGAGGGCTACCAAATGAGCGAGTGTGGGTGTCGAGAAATGTGTCAAATTATCAAGCAAGTCAGATATGCTGCGGGGTTCCGTAGAAGACTGTGATGTTATTGGGTGAAATGTGTTTATGATTTGAGAGAGTCGAATTCCTGGCACTGAATGTGATGCATCTGTAGATATGTCAATATAAAGATGATCCAAGATTCTCTGGAGCTCATGACTTCAGCTAGCGACTTCGTACACGCAGTCGGGATAACAAGAGACTAGTTGAAAACATCTCAAAATGGCAGCTTGCGGTAATCGACAGAGTTCACAGCCGATACTTCTATTCGAAGCATGAGCGCGGTGTGCTATGCGAACAGAGAAAATCGGAAATGAAGACCTACCTACCCAAATCACACCCCCGCCAGCTTGTAACGCACTTGCAGCTAATTGCATCCTGTCTTCTTCATCAGCAAATGAGAACCTCTAGCTAAGAGCTTCACCAACCCAAGAGCTGTCTTCCCAACCCCGGGAGGGCCATAAACCTCAGTCACCTCCCCTCGTGACACACCACCATAGAAAGGCTCGGTCTCTGGCAATTGAGGCTCCTTGTTCTGCAGCGCATGGTCAAGGAGGCTCAAGCCGGTAGAGATGCATCGTTTAGGTGATGACTTGAGATCTTCTAGAGCCTGGGCTGCGGAGATTGTGGGCATGCGATCTGGTTGTTGTTAGAGAGGATTCAGAGGATTTAAAGGGTGGAGGTGATAAATGAGGTCTTACGAGCAATTGGCGATGAGAAGTTAGATATGCCTGGGCCGTGAATAGAGTCATAGTCCATGGTTGTAGGGATGGGAGGAGGATATCTGCATGTGCATGGCATTGATTGTGGAGATGATATAAGTCGCGAGGTGACAGAAGCGCGTCGGAAATTCTTCACAACACGCTCGCGCTGTCAGGTGATCCGCGTGGTGCATGGACTTTAGGTTGTGGATGTAGGGCAACTTTGGCAGTTTGTTGTGCTATATATAGAAGGAAATAAGCATATCTACGGAGTATTGCTACTCTAACACTCTAACTCTTATAGTGTTTTACGGCCATCTCCACAAAAAGAAGAAGCGACCAGGAATCTGGTGCTCAAGATTCAGCCCCAGCCCTACATCCTTTGGTACATGTACGAATATACGAAGGGAGTGGTGATTCACATCCTCTATATAAATATTACCAGATTTATCCTTTAATTTCAATATGATTGCCTCTACCGGTACTTCCAAGACCTTGGAAGAACATCCCCCTTTTCTTTTTCTTTTGCTTTTCCTTATCATCGATTCATCATCTATTACTGTTCGTACCCCCAAATTGCATAATGCATGGCAGCACCACCGCCCCTTCTGGCCTGCACTGATATGGTAGATCTTTACGGGTTCCTGGTAGCCCTGGCTCTCATCATTCTAAGCGATCCAAGCCGATCCAAGCGATCCAAACGATTCGGAACCTCAGATTGGTCAAGTGTCTGGGTACAGTACCGTACTCCCTACCTGCCCTGCCTACTTTAAAATCATTGTTCTCGTATCCAATCGTTCAATTAATTAAGAGACTTACCTTTGCGCGGTTGTTGCAGTATCATTTATACAAAGTATATTTCCACAGTACCTTTACTTATCTTGCGGAAGATCAACAGGTACGGTACCCAAAAAGAAAGCCCCCATTATTAGTATTGTTTGACGACATTTGCTGGCGGAATCTCATTCGTTGAGCAATGCGCTGGGCGTGCCGTAGCGCGCCTCTACCGCGATACGGTTTGATCCCCCCCCCCCGATCTAAACAAGTGCTGATTGGTTGCGGTGACTATGATTCGTGATCGCATTCATGAGTAATCCCTGTTTTCTCGTACTGTAATCCAAATAATAATCCATGAAATTTTTAGACATGCATGCATACTGCACCCAGAACAGGAACTCACTTCGAACCATACGAAGTACTGTACCTACCTAGATAGCTAATCATAATCCACCTTGTCACCCACTTCTCCATCTCTCTCTCCATCTCTCCTTTGCTCCATTTCTCCATTTCTCCAGAACGTTCAGCAATCTACAATCCTTTTGCGACCTTACCATCCATACTTACGTACTGCTTTCCGAGCATGTTATTGGGCAATAACGCATTTCAATTATGAGGAGCATTATTAGATATCTGTCGCTGGCTGCAGCTGCGCAATCAGCAATCGCCGTCCATCTCGATGTGACCAACACAGGTGGGCACCCCTGGCTTGTTTACATGCCTAGCAGATCCCGTACTGACCATTTTCTGCAGATTCGATTAAAAGCGCAGCAAAAACAATTGCATACGGAATGATGTCCTACTACAAAGGCAATGTCACCAATACCCCCGAAACAATCGGAGTGCTTCCAGCTCCCTTATACTGGTGGGAGGGTGGGGCTATGTGGGGATCTATGTTGGATTATTATCACTTTACCGGCGACGATGAATACAACAAGGTTGTGACGCAAGCATTGCTCAGCCAGGTCGGTCCAGATTACGATTACATGGTGCCGGTCCATGCGAAAGATGAGGGCAATGACGATCAAGCCTTTTGGGGTTTTGCTACAATGTCAGCGGCCGAGAAGGACTATCCACAACCAACAGTCGGAAACTACTCTTGGGTACAACTCACCGAGAATCTGTGGAATACTCAAGTCAGACGCTGGGATACATCTACATGTGGAGGAGGGTTGAAGTGGCAAATTTTCACATTCAATAATGGATACGATTACAAGAATTCCGTCTCAAACGGAGCTTTCTTTCAGCTGTCTGCGCGACTAGCTCGATTTACTGGGAACCAGACATATTTGGACTGGGCAGAAAAAGCCTTCCAATGGATGAAAGATGTCAACTTATTGGACGATGACTATCACATCTACGACGGCGCAAATGATGACAAGCACTGTAATGACACCAACAAAGTCATCTGGACGTACAATGGAGCAATTGCGTTATATGGTTCAGCAATTCTCTACAACTATACCAATGGCTCTTCTACCTGGCAAGAACGAACAAGTGGCCTTTTAAACGCAACAGCCAACTTCTTCTCTCCCTTTGACAACTCTTCAAACATCATGTACGAGCCAGCTTGCGAGACAGTAAACACATGCAACAACGACCAGTTCTCCTTCAAAGCCTACCTCTCCCGTTTCATGTGGGCCACTACCCTTGTCGCGCCATGGACAGCACAATCAATCACCGCCATTCTCACCGATACTTCCAAAGCAGCCGCACAATCCTGTTCTGGGCCGAGTGACGGCGTCACGTGTGGGGAGCACTGGTACGAAGGCGGCTATGATGGTAAATATGGCGTAGGGCAGCAAATGAGCGCATTGGAAGCTATCCAGGGTCTCTTGATCGCCGACAGTGTGCCGCCGTTGCACAGCGGGCAAGTGCACCTGTTAGCCACTACCGCTACAACAACTACGAGCGCGACTCCTACACCGACCGCCACGGCTACCCCGACACCGACGAAGAAGAAGAAGAGTCTTGGAGGAAGGAACGAGCCTAATTCATTGATGTGGTCAGTCCCGGCTATCATGACTGTCATGATGGGGATGACCGAGTTGTCGTTCGGAACGAGAATATAATTAATACTTGCTTAATTTAGCGGAATCGGGTATTTATAGAGAGGGATAAGTGCTATATTGGAGTTCGGGATATATGAGCGGGCTTGACACGAAGATACCAATCAGTTCTGGGGGGATGGGATATAGACACATTAGACTTGGCCAGAGTACATAGAACCGGTAATGAACATACTCTAATAAAGCCCCTCCCTCACTGGGGCAGTTCTCGAATTTTTTTTAATTTGATTACTCTCTTCAAAACGCGCTCCGTCCATTACACGCCGGATCTTCTTAACCCCACCACATGGTGTTGGTGTTTGAGTTTGAGATCTGTGCGTTTGAGAGTTTATAGAGGCCGAAAGGAACACTTTTGATTCTTTAAACCTACGATTAGGATGTTCCTAGCAACGTATATATAAGAAAGATAGCTTCCACACCGCTGATGCATAAATTAGAGATGCTCTATAGACTACATACATACATACACAGAACGTTGTTGTAGAGGAGGTATCGCAACATGTTCTGGTGATTTATCTGAAAGTGTAATCTGGCGATTGAGTTCTCAGTATGATACGTAGTTCAGACTAGACGGACGAAAGGGAGACATGAATCAGCGAGCGTCTTCTTGGAATCTTGGATTACACTATGTGTATGCCTTCTGGGCTTTGCCTTAAGAATGACCTCTTTTCTATAAGTCCCCGCTCACTGTCGGCAATATGAGCCGTCCAGCGGATTTATATGTCCGATAAGATCATTTTCACTTCACGCGAATGCCCACCGAAAGAGCGGAATCCCATATCCATTGCCGATCACTTGCGGCGCTCTAAGTCCAGCCATGTTGATGACGGGCACTTGGCCTCCGAACGTGCTCCTAACACTCTCTATTCGAGCGTACTCGTACTCGAACCTATTTAAACTGGACGGGATAAGTGAGTACTGGGCATGGTGGCGCGATCCAATCGCAATTGATCGCGAGATGATGTATGTATGTACTTTCGCACCAAATCTGCTACGTTGGTTCAGTTTATGTCAATGCTTCATGAATCGCTCGATTTGAACTTGGGGATGATCATCTTTCATCCTTCCTCTTAAACGTCTTTCGGAACTTGAACCTTCTCAACCCAGGAGCTCAAGCCTTCGAGCCACGCATCAGCGGCAAAATGCTCTGCGCGAAGGTGGTACATGGCCGCATCGAAACTTTCCCAGGTAAATTGAGTGGAGCATGGCGTGCATTCCGATAGATAATTCACGGGAACAGCCTCAGCCCAGCGTTCTGGTGGTACGCGGCAGATCCAACCTACAGCCAAATTTGATGATTCTTGACCTTGAAGGGCAGGGGTTGCTATAGATCCATCGGGATTGTTTGCTACATGTGGCTGACCTTGTACTGGCTTATAAATAGCTGTTACCGGTGCCGACTTGGGTTGGCTCCCTAGGAATTCCCTCACTTCTATCCAGTACGCCCATTGTTTAGCCTGGTCGATGAGGTCATTGAAGTATCCAGTTGTATACGTCCTGGTGTCAAGGCGGATCTGTTCATTGGTAGTCAAATGTTCCACTGTCGGGCGAATGAACGAGATCGCTGTGAAGCAAAAGTCCAGAAACAGCGCAGCGTCACTTGATGTTTCCTGAAAGCCAAGTAATTAGTGACAGTTTAGCAATCATTGTATGTGAAGATAAAACTTACAGCGGCACAAACGACTAGTTCCTGTTCGAGATCTCGTAGACATACAACTTCCCTGACGGGGATCTTTCTAGAGCAACCTATTACGGTTGGGACGAAGTGTTCCAGTGAAATTTTGTCGAGTAAAGGCTGCAGGATATGCTTGTTGATCCGTTTCGTTGCGTGGGCACCAAGAAATGGGAGACCCTCATTCTCCGAGGTATTGGCAACAGGAGACCGATAGCTTGTAGAGGAAGGATGTTTGATCGAATTTATTGAGACTGCGGTATCGCTTTCCACCTCGACGCCAGCATACCATGCATCTATACGATGTTTCAAACTAGGCAATACTGGATCCTGTTCAACACCTTTCTTATCTTCCCTTTCAACCTCGACTGGCGCCTTTGACTCTGGAAGAGCTTGGAATAAGGGAGATTCACGGCTTGGAGGCGGCACGGGTTTCATACCAGGGCCACAATTGCAAGTCATTAGTCCATGATATTCTGCGATCATGATTAAAACTTTGTCCGCAGTTGGTCGAAGTTTCTGCTCCTGTGCCATCATCTTAGAAATCAAAGCAAGGCTCGTTGGATCATCCAGCGTAGCAAACCAATCTTCTATCTTGTGAGCTGTAGCATGATAGCAAAGGGTCATCCGGTCGGGCTCATCCGGGACTGGTTCACTCCGGAAGTCGTGAAACTCTTCGATACCCCGTTTGTTAATGACTGTGGTCATTTCGGAGAAGACACAGCCCAGTGAGTACACATCTGCTGGCCTCCCTCTCCGATCCTCATGCACAACTTCTGGGGCACTATACATCTTCGTGACACCGACAGCGTACCCTTCAGTTGAGCTGGTGAGACCGGAGCTGAATTGGTGAGCAGAGCCGAAATCGGTAAGGTATATCTCATCGTCTTTGCAGATAGCATTGCTAGGTTTGATATCCTTGTGTCTGATATTTCGCGAATGAATATACGCCACTGCAGAGGCAAGACAGTATTGCCATTTCTTAAGTCGTTGTATATCTTCTTCCGGGAAATCATTCTCCCCAACTCGCTCCAAGAAGTGGCTGAGATCCTCATCACCAGCCGGGGTAATAAGAATGCCAAACTGACGTGGTACAGAGGTGGTTTCATATGTGCTTACGACCTGTACAATATGTCTATGTGAAAGTTCTCGGAGTACTGCGACCTCTTGCTGAATCAGGGGAAGGAGTGTTTTTCGAGCCATGTTGGGTAGCCGAACAACTTTTCGGGCGAGCACAATGCCTCCCTCTTCTCCCTTTCGACAGACTGCATCGACGCTTCCAAGTGAGCCATGTCCAAGCTGTTTTATGGTCGTGAAAGGAACAAACTTATGGCTCCTATATTCGGTGTGTGAGAATTCAATGGCTGCCTGAATTCCATCAGCCTCAAGAAGCTTGCTTGGGTATCTAATATCGTCGGTTACCTGTGTCCTAGCTGTAGGAGTTGAAAAATCACTCAGAAGGCTATGCTCGGCTTGCTTGAGGACGCTGGGTTTTATAGTTTGACTCGTGGATGTCCCATCGGTTCCGTCCCCGCTGGAGGACCCTGTAAGCTGCGAATTGCTTCTCGCTTCTCGAAATGTATCGAAAGAGATAAGACTCTGCTGAGACTGTGCGGACTGTCTCTCAATTTTCAAGACGGCCCCGTCGGACTTCCGTACCGAAATTTTCCTCAACTCTAGTCTCTCGGGTTCGCAGGTCTGTTTGCAGCTCGGACATACCCAGCCATCTGAAATAACAGTAATACGATCTAGACACCGTACGCATCTCCACCAGCCCGGGGATACAGTCCTGCTCGAGAACCATTCCTGCTCCCGTTTTGGGGTTCTGTGTCTTTTGGCCATGTCCTCCATGTGATATTCCCTCAAATGATCGCGATATGCATCTTTTCGTGTGAACGCATCCTCGTCTTCTGATCTTCGACATGAAGGATAGTCGCAAGGAAAAGATCCCTCTTGTATTGCATTGGGATGGTCATTTTTGTAATGACTAGCAAGGTCCGTAAAGACTTTGAATCGAAATTTGTCGTTTGTGTCCCAGCAACTGGGGTGCTCGCATCGGAAAAGTCCCAAAGGAGTGTTTTTGACTTTCCTGCGAGATGGTTGGTCTTCGACGTCTGAGAAATCGACTTCAAGAATATCTTCTATTGCTAGCTGAGAGAGCCTTACGTTTCGAGCTCGGTTTGGGATCACGATTTGGAAGGAACTGAGATTCTTGCCAGGAATGTTATTAGGAGCTGAGGCAGCATCCTCAGAATTTGGTCGAGGAGAAGAGGTGGAATCTCTAGAAGCAACATCCTTTGTGTCCTCCGAATCGACTCTGTGGCCTTTTAAAGACTCGTCTCCAAGGCTACTGGATCCAAGGTGCCCCGTTTCGTCGTCCGACTGACCATAGTTAAGTTTATACCAACGCCTACCACTCAGACCTACTGCGTCTCCGCGCAACACTTTCCGAGCATAGGATTCCTTTGATTCAGGGACCTCTTTCGGATGGGTAGATAGGGAGAGAGGTGGCATTATCGCGGTCAAGCCCCATCGCAGACTTGACTGGGTGGGGTGACAGTAGCGGGTGGTAGGCGCTGGAGGACCCTCAGAGTCGACATGAGGTCTGGCATTGATGGATGATGGCAAAGATACTAGTGAAGTGAAGCTGTGATTCGATTATCGCTGAAGAGTGAGAGTGAGGGTAGAGTTCCCGTTCCCGCTCCCGTTCGCCCCAGTCCCAGTCTAGTCCAGCCCCGCGATGCTTAGCTAACCCATTGGAGCCCTGCCCTGCCCCTGCTCTGGTTCTGGCCCCCTCCCCTATTAGAAACAAGGCTGGACTTCACGCATCATCTCTTTGCCCCTTCACTCTTCACTCTGCACTCTCACTCTTCACTCTGCACTCTGCACTCTGCAATCTTCACTCTGCTACAATCCAAGCTACCGTGACTCACTCCCCTTTTGCATGACTCCATTGGCCCGCCTAACAAATCCTTTGAGCTGGACTCGTGTGGTTCGGCTACAGTACAAAAACAAAACCTGGATATTATATGAGAAGACTTCATCTCCATGAAAAGAGACTTTAGTATGGTTTCGACTTCACTTTGAGGTCCATATGCTTTCCCATCGATATCTGATTCAACCACTTGGTGTGGTCAACTGCTTTGAGGGATTGCGGCTTCGGACGAACGTTCTCTACGATATTGCTTTCCATCCATTGCTCGAGTGAGCAAGAGATATGGTTCCCACTGGGTTTGAGTCTGATACTGTATCTCTATTACTCTCTATCTCTGTTACTGATACTTGCACAATATACGAGCTATTCAGCAATTACCTACGCAGGTAGTGTAGGGTACAAGGAAATGTTCAGCCACGAGAAGCCACTTGCGGAAGATTACGTCATGGCTGCCAACCCTCCTCAAGCAAAGTAAATTGTCAAATAAGTAGGTACGTATACACAGTCTGTTTCCCACCTTTGTCGCAGCTTTCTTTTCTTTACTTCAATTCAAGCACCATGTCCGCAATAGACACGACCCCGGTCCAAGGGCCCGTTCAGACACCACAAGCACCACAATTCGACGAGGATCCAGAATTCGTTGACGCTGTCGAGGAGGAATTGCCTACAGAGAGTCATGCCCTTGCCAACGCTGACCATGAGGAGAAAGGTGCTGCCCAGATAAACCATGGCCAAACTGAAGTAAGAGATTTAGGGTGGAATGAGGAAGCTGTTGATCTTCCAACTCCTCTTGTCGGAGGACTACCCAATGAAGAGCTCTGGACCCTGGTTAGACGTTTCAATAAGGTATGTTGCTCATTTGTGCCCATTTTTGCGCAGATTTCTGAGTTGTGAAATAGCAAATGTACCATGTCAAATCCCTGCCGGAACCACCAATCGGCGGACTCGATCTTAACATTGCGGACGAGGAAGAGTTCTCCCCAGATAAACTACGGGCAAATATCGAGCGACTTTATATGACCGTTATTGTCGGACTTGTCGGATTCTGGAATCATATTGCACGACTGAGATCATGGCGAGAACGAAACCGAACAATTGCATTCGCAGCAGTCTATTTTACAGCCTGGGCTATCGATTTTTTAGTACCGATGATTGTCAGCTTTGTTATAGTCCTGATAGTGTACCCTCCAGCAAGGACTTACTGCTTCCCGCCTGCACCAATCGCTTTGATCGATTCGAAAACCGGAGGAATCAAGAAGCCTACTGCAGGCGTTCTGGGAAGTGACAACAGCTTGACAGGAGCGCCCGAAAAGCATGAAGGAGAAGCGGTTGAACAAGAAGCGAGTAATTTCGTCAATGGTTTTACCTCAATTGCACTCAGCAGTGCCGCTGGAAAACACCCTCAAGGAGACCCGCATGGTGAAGAAGAGGGCGCAAGTAGTCTAGAAGACAGTGCACCAGACCCTACGAATATGGCTATGCATGCGGCAGATGCTAAGGACAAAAGCTCGGGTGGAAATCCGAATGCAAAGCACGACAAAACCAAAGAGCCAATGTCAGCTGCCATGTGGTCAAAAACAAGGCCAGTCATGCACGCCATTGCTGATATCTCAGATGGGTGGGAGCGATTTGCCAACGCTTTGTCTGCAACTGCACCATTTCCAAAAGAAGCGCCTAGAGTCAAACTGGCTGCATGTCTTGCTCCTGTACTCCTAGCATCGATCTTCACTAGCTCCTACATGTTCACCAAAATGAATGGCCTTTTCATCGGCTTTGGCTTCTTCGCCGATCCTTTGATTTGGAGAGGGCTGTCTTACTTGAACAGAGAATTTCCCAACTGGCAGAAACTCCTCGAAATCAGAAATACTCTTCTCAAGGGTGTCCCGACAAATGCTCAACTCACAATTACCTTACTCAGAATCGGCGAGGCGAACAAAGCACCTCTACCTCCACCACCATACTCTGGCCCGCCACCACCAGATGCTGCGCATGCCACTGCGGGCCAGGATCTCGAACATTTAGGTAAGCAACATGTAGCATCTTCTTACTTTTCTAACTCCCACAGAAGGCGTATCCGACCGTGAGATGGCTGATGCTGTTCATCCTGATACTGCAGTAACAACCGGCGCAGATGCAGCGGCACCGAAGCCCAAGAGGAAGACTGGTCACCGCATCGTTGCAGCCATGAAGCATGCTACAAAAGGCGGCGTCGAGACTATCCTTGGAACCGATCGCTTGAAAGCAGCAGCAGGAGGAGAACACGCAAAGAATCGTTTAGGGGTTTTGCAAACAGATTCTATCGACAAATCCGCCGGACCTATTCAATTCTCGGCTCGATATAAGGGTAAGAAAGGCCACGCATATATCACAACGATGGCGACTAGCCCAGCGTTGAGTTGGACAACTCAGAAAGAAGATATTGATCCCGTGTTCACAATTGCAATTGCTGATATAAAAGTTTGTATTCCTCAGCTTCCATTCCCCAGCCTCTTTTCTCGTGCTGACATTGCCAAGGAAATCAAGAAAGTTGGCGGGCTAGGCTGGAAGACAAAACTGGTCGTTGGTTGGGCGACAGCACGGGAGATCGCAGACGGCTTACTCATCGTCGAGAAAGATGGGAATACGAAACAACTCACTGCCATTGCGCTCCGCGAGGAAATGTTCAATAGACTGGTGGCGATGGGTACTCAAATGTGGGAAGCTTGGTAAGGGGATTGCAGACTGGTCATTAAGTCCGTCGCTATTAAGTCACTTTATTAGTTGAAGCTTTGATATTAGTTAGTCACTTACAGTTAGTAACCTAACTTATTTAGTCAGTTATATATATATTAATCAGCGACTTCAAAGCTAAAGGTAGTAAAACTATTAATAATAGGAATGCTTTTAGAGCAAATTCTAAGGGTTTTTATAGAGCTATTTAGCAGATCTCGGCCTTAAATAGCCTAAGATCTTAGGTTTTTACATATGAATTTTATTAGCTAGATTGTTTACGCTTAGCGCCACCTCTCGGCTAACCTAGCGCACTTGAGACCTTTTATAGATAACTATTAAAAATCTATCCTATATATAACTTCATCTTTAGCTATATCTGCATTATATTATATTAAGCGCGCTTTCCTAACCTACTATCCCTCTTTATTAGCTAGTATATAGAATGCATTTATTTTCGATAAGAGGGTGATATCGTTTGAGATTCCCTTTTCCTGAGTTGCTTAGCCCGAGAGATTGAGAGGAAGTAGTGCCACTTTTATGAACTATCTATCTGTATATTTAAAAGTGTTATTATTGTTGTTGCTAAATTGGCTTTTTGGTTTTCTTTTCTTGTTGCCCCTTCCGTAATGCAAGCTAGATCTTACGTTTATATGATGCGGTGTCGATATGTCCTTTTAGGGTGGCATAGGGGGGGGGGGGGGAGGGCGTAAAAGAATGTTGTTTCGCAGAACAGCTAATTTACTAGTAAGCGCCATTATCGATAGACATGTTCAGTCCATGAGCTTCTGATTCCCTGCTTCTGCGTCCTCTAGTGAGAAGAAGAATACAATTAAGCCATAAAGTGACTTCCTCCTAAGTAGAGACAGTGGACAAGTCGTTCTCCTCTTCAACTTTTCGATGTTCCAAAAGCAGTCTAACCACCTCATTATGGTCTCCCTCTTGTGCAGCTTCAAGTGGAGTTTGCCCATACCAATCAACATTTGTATCTGCTCCAGCCTCGAGTAGTATTCGAACTACTTCGATGTGGCCGCGAAATGAAGCCGCATACAAAGGGGTGCCAAACCATTTGCTGTTAACATCAATTTCGCCCTTTAGAACCTTCTCGAGAAACATTTTGACGAGGCCGCTGTTTCCCGCATGCGAAGCGCAGTGGAGTGGCGAGATTGAGTAATTGTTGTTGGAGGAAAGGTCCGCGTCTCCCTGAATGAGGAAATCCGTGAGGCCGATAAGTTCTTCCTCGTTTGCGTTTTCTCTCTCGGCAATGTTATGAAGACACGTGAGTCCTTCGGAAGTCGAAGAATTGATATCTAATCCTCTCGAAAGAAGAATTCCAATGAATTCTTTGTCTGAAAAAGTTCCTGCATCACAGAGAACATCGTCATTGGTACTCCCAAACAGGCGTTTGTTGGCTACATTTGTGCCTCGTTCTGCTAAATATTTAGCGATAGCTAAGTCTTTATACCGAATAGCATAGCCCAATGGTGTCCTTCTATATTCGTCCCTTGCCTCGAGTAGTTTTTCAACTTGGACTAAGTCGGATGTCAACAAAGCTTGTGTATACTGTGTTAACTCACAGTTTAAGACTTACCTGTATCGCGTTCATCCGTTGTTCCAGGCTCACGATCTTCAAAGTCACTGGGCCGGATGTCGAGTCTCTTAGGCTGCGCTATTATTGCTTTCTCGGTCTGTTCGGACTCAACAATGTCGAATATGGCTTGAACAGCTTCTAGATGACCTTTCTGGATAGCCAAGTGCAAAGGAGTCTGCATCCAATTACCCCGGGCAAATATGTTGGCTCCGGCATTCACAAGCTCTCGTATGATATCCGTTGAGTTCCCCAAGGCTGCTATATGGACAGGAGAATCGCCGAATTTGTCCTTCACATCTACTCGAGCGCCTAGGTTCAGAAGTTGTTTTACTACGTCTAGTGACTTTGACTCGCATGCAATGTGAAGAGCAGTCGATGCGTCAGACTTTAATGGCGCATTTGGGTCTCCTCCAGATTCCATGAGTACTTTGCAAATATTTGGATTGTTTGTTTCCACGGCCTTTATCATCAGCCGCGAGAAGCCTTGAACTTCGGTCTCGGGGCCAAGAAGCTTGTCCTTTGCAGTTTTAGGGATGGGTGGCGGCGCCGGTGGGTAGGTTGCCATTTCAAGTCCAGAGAAGTGATTATCGTTTGTCCCGGTGGGTTCTAAGCCTAGACTCTCACCCGTGGGTAGAAACTCATTTGCGCATTTCAATAAATAGTCCTTGAGCTCTGTATGCCCATGCAGAGCAGCTTCCATCCATGGCATAAGTCCATCCATATTCTCAAGGTCAGGTCGGGCTCCTTTCCTGATCAAGAGCCTTGCGATATCACCAGAACTATGACTTGCAGATATGTGTAGTGGGGTGCTCATGACGGCATTCAAGCTGTCAATTTCCGCGCCAAAATCGATTAATACCTCAACAGTCGGAAAATGACCGTGAAATGCTGCAATGTGCAAGGCAGTACCGGCGAAGTGATCTCGAGTTCGCACATTTATGTCTGTGATCTCTCCTTTCTCTATCAATAGTGAGATGATATCGCGTTTTCCAAAGAATGATGCCACATGCAGAGGATGGAACCCATCCCCAGTCCAACAATCGGTTTCCGAAGAGCTACTTGGTTGGTCATTGTCACAGCGACTATTTTTATGATTCAATAGCAGGCGTACAGCATCAACATGGCCTCCCAAAAATGCTAGAGATAAGGGTGACCAAGATTTATGTTCGCCATTATTAACGTACACTTTTGGATTGTGGCGAAGGACCTCGACGATACCCGGCCAGAATCCACTTTGAGCGAGAAAATGTAAAGCGGACCGAGTATCTAAATTGGTTGCATTGACGTCTGCACCCTTGGCTAGGAGCATCGATAATGCATGGGCCCTCGATGAAGTAGATAGGTTTCCTTTTCCTCGAGAGATGCTGATTAGGGGTGTGTCACCAAGAGAGTTACGTGCATTTATATCAACCCCCTCAATGTCAGTGACAATCTTAAGCATATTAATTGCACGACCGTCATCCTTGGGATATCCACTTTCAGTAACCAAATGTATAAGAGTCCCTCTCGCGTTAGTCCACTGCGGGTGTGAAAAATCATTCGGGAGTAACAACCGGATGGTCTCTGACGATCGACCTTGTTGTATAGCTAGGTGCAGTGGTAGGTATCCATCTTCCCTTTGTATGGACTTTACTTCACCATTCCCTAGAAGAAGTTGGACGACTTCATCGTGCTTGCCATGCGTGGTGTCAACCATGGCCAAATATGTATGAAGTGGGGTGTTGCCAGCATGATCGACTGCGTTCACAGCGCAACCTTCGTTGATAAAGAACCGCAGGACCTTGACTGCTTCCCATACATCATCTACGACTGTTTCTCTTTCAGGGAAGAAGTACGGGTACTTTTGGTACAGGCAGCCTACCAGGTGGTGAAGTGTTCCGCGGCCATCTTCCGTGACCTCCGTATGATTGGCACCCTTTTTAAGCAACAAATCCACAATATCATACACATTGTGCCATCCCAGTCCTGTCACGGCGAGGTGTACTAGGTTGTATCCAATATCTTTGCCGATAAAATCTACACCGGGGAGATTCGACAAAAACTCAACCACTCTATATCGCCGATGACGAACAGCGGTAGCTAAGGCGGTAGTTTTTATCGTGATCGTCCCCGAGATTTCAGTCGTTTGTCTGAATATACAAGGTGGTTTTTGGAATGCAGGGTCAAGTTCGGCCCCAGATGATTCTTCTTCCTCCACTATGTAATTCACATCTATGGCGTATGCGATAAACATCTCCATCAGTTGTATGTTCCCTTGGGATGAAGCAGTAACTATGAAGAATGATTAGTTAGCTTTGTTACCACCCAAGAAGTTTGGGGATAACAAGGCACTAATTAGCCCCCACAAGAACATTTAAAACGTCGATAACCTTCAAGTGAAAAGCTCAAGAGACAATGAGACATACTCCCAAAAGTCTCGGAAAATACAGAATAACAGGAGAAAGGGAATTTGGATATAACATACTCCATGCTTTGTAAACCTCTCGAATCACAACCGGATCACTGCGGGGGCAGTACTGTAATAACGCATCTACTATCTCGGATAACTCCTCATAAGCTGCAATAGGTAATCCTTTGCAAAGGATTTTAGCATCTGTCTTATTCTTAATAAGATCCTTTATCAAACCGATCTGGCCATATTCGGCTGCCGATTTAATTAGTTCGGTAGTTGCATCTGTGAACTGGAATATCTCGTCATATAATTTCCCATCAGAGACACGCTCATCCTCACTGAAATCGGTGGTTCGAGCAATGAAGGAAACCATCTTTTCTTTGGAATCGTTGTCCAACTTTGAAACGTTTTTATGCTTTAGCGTCCACATAAATAGCGACGCTATTTCGGAATTGTCTTCATGAGATTCCGAATGATGCCAGAATGAAGAAGACGCGAAGGAAGAGATACAATCTGCATCCATTAGACGTTTGAAAACTTCAACACCAAAGTCTAGATTTGTGTCAAAAGTGTCCATGGCTACAGACATAGGTGTGACAGTTATGTATTCCCTTTGGGCGGAGTATTGCCTTAATACTGTACTTGGGGTTGCAAGAGCTCCAGCATCAAGTAATACTCGGACTGTTTCAAAGGTAGAAGTAGTTCCTTGTCCATAAACGACCCAATGAAACTTGTCTCCTTGTATTGCACACACGAGGGGCGTGCCAAGAATGGTATTTTGGGAATTGACGTCAACTCCTTCTTGTTTCACTAGCCAAGCACAAACTTCAGTAAGTCTGAGCCTAGCTGCAAATTGTAGAGTCGACGCAGATTTTGGGTTCCTCTCTACTTTCCAATGAGTGAGGTACTCATCTTGCCAAAAAGCAAAGACTGGAGACTTGTTAGGATGGAAGAGCCGGCACATCAAATCAATAAGGGAATAGTCTTTAGAACCTAGCATATAATGATAGTGACAATAGCAAGCCGTATATATCAGTAAAGGGTACTGCGGGTACTTCTCTCTTCTGTCCTCGCTTCGTTGCTTAATGAACTGGAACTGCGAGAAAGTCTTGAAGCCAAGATGAGTTAAGCAGACCTTTGCTAAGATATGGTGTGAAACTTCGGTATCGAGATAATATCCACGGAGGCGTGCAATTTCAAATAGCCTTTTATCCATGAGAAACTCTTTCACTGTGAAGTGGGATAGCGTCAAAGATCCGGTACGCTCGTCTTGGGTGACTAGGCTGCTACACCACCACAAGAGACTGTCCTCATCTGGTACGTTATCCTGATCGACAGATTCTGAATTGAATTCAACAGCTATCGCAGTGACAACTTCAATACTGGTCAATGGCCTCTTTGCAAATGTCAACCAACGTAGGGCTTTCTCGACCATTTTTATGATCTGTTTTGGCCCGTCATTGACCCTGTCTAGGATTCTCTCGTATGTTTCAAACAGATCCTTCGGCAGGGCTTCAAGTGCTTTTCGACGTTCTTTGTCTGTGCTCAAATGACATAGCTGATCAAGCTGACATTTTGCCCACTGAAACCTTCAGACATGTTAGCATCCTTTCCGAGACTGTTCAACTTCTGAAGAACTTACATCCCGTTGGCTTTGGCGACGATAGTGTTTACAATAGTTTCTTTCAACAACGGATCTCTTAAACGAAGACTCTTGTTTTCGATACGCTGCTCGATCCCTGCGGTTACGAATAGCTCCAGGTCATCCCCACGAGCAGCGATAGAAATTTTGTCAAACTTTGTGAGCTGTTCTCTGATATCTATCAAGTCGCGGCTGGTACAGATGGTCTTGACATTTCCATACTCTGGTTCATTGAGTATTGAGAGAATCTTGAGGAGCTTGAACCTTTCTTCTGAGGACAAACACTCATCTAGACCATCAACAACTACCATGACGCTATCAAAATACCTCGAAACTCGTTTCAGAAGTTTTGCCAGGTCATCATTGGTGGGGAGAGTGGGATGAGTAGGTTCGTTGCATTTTTCGTACAGTTTAAGTAGTTCCTCGAAAGCCTGTTCGGAGCTGGCACATATTTGGTTAAGAAGGGACCCAAGTATATTGTGCAAACTTTGGGTCTCATTCCGTTTGTACTCGCAATAGTAGTAAGCAACTACGCAACCAGTTGTCTGAAAGGCGAGGAATTTGACTTCTTCAATGACAGCGGACCTACAAATATTAGCACCTCATACAAGATATTCTATTCCGGTATAAGAGCTTACGTCAAGATGGTTTTACCAGCTCCAGCTATATTTCTCGATATGTCAGGACCCCTTCAGTTAATCAATATATAGTACTTACGAATTCCGAACAACCATATTGCAGAATTGGGTGTTCCTACCCAATTCTTATATTCAAATGAATCGAAAAACCAAAGCACCGTATTTGGATGTCTTAACGCTTTGGAATCTCGATGCTTCTCGTAGGGAGTAATTTTTGTACTCCAATTGAAGACTTTTACCTTTTTATCATCTTGCACAATATTAATGACTTCTTCCATACACAAATTGCACTGATTGTTACATACTATTCTCACTCTCTGCTTTCTCTAGAACGATCCTTTGAAATGCTATTTTCACATCCCGAACATTTTCGATCAGTGTAGACTGAGAAGACAAGCGACGAAACTAAAGCGGTTCTGGAGATGAATAATTAGCTTTTAGCCTATTGCTGTACTGCATCCCACCAAAGAAACAAAGTAGTCAAGACAACAGGTCTATCAACGACTCACAGTCCATCAGCCGTCAGAGCGTCACTCAAATCACGTTTATTTCGTGCGATTTTCTCTCTCAACTCCTTGGTTTCCGAAGCTTTGAAAGGCCAAAAAAGTCTCGTCTTCACAGAGTTTGAGTCAAGTTTATCTAACGACTTCTTTAGATGGTCGAGGTTCCTTCTGCAGGTTTGAAAATGATCCAGATTATGAAAGCGATGGGAGTCTAATAAGTTCGTGAGTTGGATACTGGCCTCTATGATAGATAACGAGCCGAGAACCTACCTGCAGAACGCTCTTCATCATCGTCGAGGCATTTCTCAAGGAGCTTGAGACGATTTAACACACCATAGAGACTTTGCACTTCTAGGAAGAGGTCTTTGATATCTGAGCCGGCATTTTTGACGCCGTACGCGTACTTCGAGCCTTTGAAGGCGACCATTTCGGCCAAGCCGATCAAGCCTGCAATGCCGCTTGCAACCCCGAGAGCTTCCATGCCTCCGGTTCAGGTCACAGGTCGAATAAATCGATGTTGGAAGAGGCGGAAAATAGAATAATTCGCATTTATATATGAACTATTGTGGTGATTTGCGATGAGGGTGAGGAAAGCAGTCCGCCTCAGAAAGATTCTAGGCGTTGTTTTACTCATGCACGTTTATGCCACCTGAGCCTCCCCTCCCCCCCCTCATGCACGTTCATGCCAGCTCAGCCCCGCCTCATTATGGTAAGGCATACCTGCTGGCGGGGCTTATTTGCTGCGCCTGCCTAGTAAGCCTTGAGTAAACTGCCCTTTTAGCGAAGTATGTTTTTCACTACAGAATACTAATGCTAAATCATGTTACACAAAAAAGCACATGTGAAAATTTTATAAATCAAAGAATAAATGGATTTCAAAAATACATGTCAGTTGATTCATTCCCCTGAAAATAACATTGATAGTAACTTCACTTTTTCCTACACTAGTTACTGAAAAGAGGCTTTGATTATTTAGGTAAAAAGGCTAAGGACGGATGGGAAGCTCCACACTCTATTATCTACTCCTCTCTTTGAGCTACCGACTTCAGAATTGCTGTCTCCAAGAAAATTGGGTTTGATTTCAATAATTCATATTATCCGATTCGGAATTCTCTTCCACTCACTTGAGCTTCAAATATACATTTGCTCGCTTCAGCTTAAATGAAGGAATATGACAGATATCTTCGACCACAGAGGAAACATCTGCATTTTGTTTGAATCTCGAAGTCTAGCCTGACCCAAAGCCTTTTAGACAGTTAGCTGCTGAACCGAATTTGGAATTCTTGAAAGGAGGTATAAAAATGACGGCAAATGAATACAAAACTGATTTTGTGTGAGAAGACAACCAAAGACTCTGCAAATTAAGGTACTGTTATAATAAAAAGGAGAAAATTCAAGCTCGGAAAAAAGGATTTTTAAATGAGGCATCTAAGAGACAGGGAGACATTATTATTCATTAAACATTTCGGGCACATTAAGAACTCGAACTCGATATGATTGCGAACTCGTACAGACAGGGTCATGATCAAGCAAGATACATAGAGCTATCAGGAGGTGTCAAAGGTTAAGGACCCAGAGCGGGTTTCGCCCTCTTTGCAGCGCGACAGAATTCGCTCAAGTACCACAGCAGATCATCCAGATTACTCCTCCCAACATTATCGCCAGAGGAGTCCAGGCGAGGGGATCCGAAGCGACAGATATCGTTGTGGTCAGCTACCATTTCTAGTATGGTTTCTCTGTCGCTTTCCAGACCGAGGATTGCGGATGCGCGGGGTATGAGCTGCGAGTATATCAATCAGCATTGCATTACAAGCGCGCGTGCACAGGTGTGCGGGAAACCTACCGGGTTGATAGTCTCGACGCACGACAGATATCGATAGCGTCTCACTTGATCTTTCCACTGTTTTTCCAAGCCATAATCCAGCATGCCGGTGCGTGAGAGGAGCTTCAGGAGGTCTCTCGAGCTTGAGGATCTGCTGGCGCCACAGGAGAAGAGCCGAGAGAAGAACTTGCTGAGGAAGCTGGGTTCGGTGGATGCTAGGTGCGTGGGACTTTGCATAGCGTGGGGGGTGCCGAAGAAGACGATTGCGAAGACTGCTTGCATGATTTCGTGGTAGTGGGGATTCTGGGTGCTGGCTGCGTTGACGAGGGCTTGTTTGATCAAGAGACCGCCGACATCATGGCCCATGAGGAGGAGGGGGCGGCTGGGGCACTGCTTGCGTTCGTTAACTAATGGTGTACCATTTGAAGAGGGGGGTTTGTGCATGGGATGTAGGTACGGACTTGGTCTCTTCTGGATGCGAGGGCTTCGAGCAGCCTCGTAGCTTGATGGATATGCTTGGATGGGGTGTAGGGGGGTGTGGAGTCGTAGGTAAAGACGAATACGCGTGCTAGGGGAAGCCGTTTGGGCAAGTCGTCTCTGAGCCAGAGATTGCCCGCGGCTCCTGAAGGCTTGCGCCAGGTGTCCATTGCGTGGATAGTATAATTGGAAATATCGAGACCGTGGATGGCGACGATGCTGATTGAAACATGTCAATTTGTGGTGTGGAGTTAGGATATCTGCATAACATACTCGATTTCAGGTTCGTTGCCTCCATCCCACACTACTTGAAGACTCTGAATACGTTAACTTAGTTGATCTCCACATGAATAGTTGGGTAGTCTCACCATATCTGCTACTGTATAGCTCCAATATTCACGTCGAAGTTTTGCAAAGCAGTCTCGCGAGAATTTTCATCACAATTGTCCAGAAAGGTTAATTTGTGTGCAGTGGTGGATTCAATTACTGTGTACTGCTATAGCAGACCATCTCACACCATACAATTCAATATTCATCTCTTTCATCCCTCGAATCTCTTCACCGTTTGCCGTTCCACACCAAACAGTAACAACAGGTCATTGTTCATCGCCATGATATTCCAAATAGCTTTGACTTATTCTTTCCAGAGCTGTTTGGGTCGGTATCCGCATTCTCGAGGTACATTTTTGGATGGCCTTGCACATCCAATGTCAAATATCTATACACAAATTCGTTCTCAGATGGCCGTTTGACCATATGCAAATTGACCACTCCTTTATCTAGTGGTCCTTCAACCTGAAGGGACAAAGATCAATACGGGGGTTTGCACATTTGCTCGTCTTGATGACTTACATTGAAATGTATCATTAAGTGCTCCGTACCGGTTTTGTCTGTTGAAATTGTCGAGCTATAGGGCTATAGTAAGCATAAATCCGTGGAAAGATTTGAACGGCATACGCTATTGGCCTCGCCCTCCTCCAACTGTTCCACGTTGGCTCTCCATATGCTGTGATCTTCTTGGTTGGCCCAAGCAGGTCTATACATCTCGGATCCTTCTTCACCTGGTCGAAAGCCCGATTGAAATAAGAAACTTTACTCTCTGGCGAGAAAACTTCCGTGTACATAAGATACGATACGCCTGCCTACTTTACTATTAGTAGCTGTTGCTGGAGCTATCCTTCAAGATACTAACAGTAAGAACAGCTCCCACGATAATCAAGCCAAAGTTGAAGCTTTGTTGTGTCGTCCTTGCGGCCTTCTCTCTCGCAGATAAATCCTCCCACGCCACTCTGCCATCGTCGTTGAAAGCCGTCACTGCCCTTCTCTTTGGCTTTTGTGTAGTACTAGTCGTTCCTAAACCAGTATGCGTTGCGTACAGCCTAGCTGCAATTATAGGCCTAAGAGCTGGGGGAAAGCTCAAGATAGGGCCAGTTCGACAGAGCGAATTCATGGTGAAGTAGGTGTTGTTGATTTAAGTATTGGTACTGAGTGGAGGTGTTGTTGTTTTTACAGCCGAAATTTGGTACAGCGGGGAAAGCTCGAAGACAGGAAGGCGCTAGAGACATTTACAGTGGAGCATAACAGCTAATCCTAAATCCGGTCCGGCCAGATTGCGCCCCTCGCCTCGACAGAAATTCAACCTCGCATCTTCAATAAAGGGGAACAAAAGTGACCCTCTCGATCTCTCGAACCTCCCCCTCACTTCACACTCTTTCGGATTTACAACTTTTACTCGAGCGACGACCGCTATTATGGCTGCTCTGGCTTCCAAAACCCAGAGCCAGAAGATCTTTGAGAAGTTAAGGACGAAGCAGGCGAACAGGGTAGGACACTGCCCAATATCTTGCAGTCGCATCAACCACTGACGCGTTCCTGAATCGTAGACATGCTTTGACTGTGGGCAAAATAACCCTACGTGGACCTCAGTACCCTTCGGCATCTACTTGTGCCTCGACTGCTCTTCGAATCACCGCAACTTGGGTGTCCACATCTCCTTTGTGCGCTCCACAAATCTTGACCGTACGTCCAAGTATGCGCTCTCAAAACGGACATCGCTGACCTATCTATTAGAATGGCAATGGGATCAACTACGGATAATGAAAGTAGGCGGCAATGAATCCGCTACCAAGTACTTCCAGTCCAATGGCGGAACTGCCGCTTTGAACAGCAAAGATCCTAAGACTAAATATACCTCGAACGCGGCTACGAAATACAAGGACGAGTTGAAGCGACGGGCAGTGAGAGATGCGACTGAGTAGGTGCCCAGAGAGGGACTAAAAATGCGCCATGCTGACAAGTCATAGATATCCTGGCGAGGTGGTAATCACAGACGTAATGAGCAATGGACCTACCGATGGCAGTTCCACGCCTGCGGGCAACGCTGAAGACGATTTCTTTTCCTCCTGGGACAAGCCTTCTATCAAACGACCAACTCCCCCTATTTCTCGAACAGCCACACCTCCTGTTGTGGGCCGAACCCCGTCCCCATTCCTGAATGCTGGATCTAATGGTAACGGCGCCGGTAATGGTATTGCAAGAAGTGCTTCACCTCTCGCGAACTCTGAATCCAAACCTCCAGCAGCCAGTAGGACTACATCTTCTGCAGCATTGCGCAAGGGCGCTGCAGCTGGATCCGGCCCACGCAAAGCCAACGTTTTGGGAGCGAAGAAGACGAAATTGGGTGCAAAGAAGGTTACAACAGATGTCATCGATTTTGATGCCGCAGAGCGCAAGGCCAAGGAAGAGGCCGAGAGAATTGCAAAATTGGGCTACGATCCAGACGCCGAAGACGCGGAGTCGAAGAAACCTGCCACTGTCACCAAGACGTCCGATCTCCCTAAGATCGCATCGCCAACTCCAGTTAGCCCGGGCAGAGCTGGATACGGATCAGGAAATCAACACCAGCGTTCTAGCAGTGAAGTGGAGCGATTGGGAATGGGTATGGGCAGACTTGGGTTTGGACAAATTGGAGGAGGGAAAGCCGCAGCTGCACCAAAGAAGATGGGTGGCTTTGGATCAGTTGGACCTATCAAGGCCACACAAGAAGGTCGGTTTCGTTCCAGTTTCAACGTATAAATTTGCTAACAGTGTCTTAGACGAGGATGAGAAGTATGCTCGACAAAAGTTCGGTACCCAGAAGGGTATATCATCAGATGAATTCTTCGGCAAAGGCGCCTTCGATCCTAATGCGCAATCCGAAGCCAAGTCAAGACTACAAGGATTTGAGGGCGCCCAATCTATCTCTTCAAACGCATATTTCGGACGTGAAGATGAGCCAGATGGCGGAGAGGAATATGGAGATTTGGAGACGGCTGCAAAGGACTTTGTGAGGAAGTTTGGGGTCACTGCTGGCGATGATTTGGATAACCTGACTCAGGTTTTGGGCGAGGGCGCAACTAAGCTGCAGGGTGCGATCAGGAGCTACCTCAATGGCTAGTGCTTATGTAGTATTCTTAAGAGCAGAATAGGTTGGCGTTGGGACAAAGAATAAACTACGGTTTGCAGCATAGTAAGAGAGGAAAGCAGTATAAGTGAAGGGGCTGTAGTAAGCCAGGCCCATTGTGTGTTTTTGGTTGGTCGATTTGCAGCATAGATTGCGTTGCAATATTTGATATTGAGAAACAAACATAATATTTCCAAATCTATTCGCGCCTTCTGATACATTTACCGCTGGTAATTAACGCTGCCTATCTCCTATGAAACAGCGGCTGTTACCATCAACTTGAAGCCAATGCCATAGATCTTCATGTTCTTTGACACTGTCTGACTGACTCGCGTGCGTCGGTCCGGCCCCTGGCGCTTGTTTCTCGCTCGCCAATTCTTGTTTTCGCGACGATGATTGCCAGCCAATGATTCTTCGGCCAGCACAGAACTCCACACAACAAGGAACATGACGTAGGTACCAGTCCAACGTCCACCAGGTCCACAACAACAACTTCGCTCTGTGCCAGTCATTCGATTTTAATCAGTCCAACAGACTCGTGGCCATGGAAGATCGCAAGACAATCAGGGCGGCATCCTGGCTTAGTAGCTGAGATAGCCTAGGTAGGGGTAGGGGTAGGTAAAGTATATTTCATATGGCGGGATATTATCGCTGATCTTTCCTTTCCTTTGACCTTCCTCTCTTCATATTCACTATTTCTTCCCTGTCTGCTGGTTAATAACCTACCCATTTCTCAAGGAGTCATACTCTGCCCTCATAAATACCCAACCTTTCCTCAACCTACCAAAATAATATAACAGAGAAGCACAGTACCACCTTTCGTCTGACAATCAACTCAACAACCACGGAAATGAGAGCAACAGCACTTCTCCCCATGGCATGTGCCATTGTGGGATTTGTCCTCTCCATGCTTTGTCTCTTCGCAGGACACAAGCCAGGTTTTATGGAAGAATACCATATCATCACAGTAAGTTCTCATTCTACTCTGTACGAAAGCAACTTCTAACAGATCTCTAGCTTAATACCTCCACGCTGGGGCATAATCTCATCGATAACGCTGCCACAACCACCACTTCCTCGACCGCTAAACCGACAGCTACCTCGGTCGGCTCTTTCCTCAGCGGCATTAAACATAATATTACGGATACCATCGAAGGGGATCTCAATGGCATTCTCAACGATGTCGCGGACAAGCTGTCGAAAAAGCTGGGTATCAAGCAATGGTACAGTTTGCATCTGATGGATTCATGCGAAGGAACCTACGCACCCAACGCGACAGAAAAAGGCGCAGATCTGAACATCACCACCTGTTCAAACGAGACTGCTATGTGTAAGCCATTCACCTCCCCTTGATTCAGACTATATACTAACATGCGCCCAACTAGTTCACTTCAACATCGAGAAACACCTAAACCAACAACTCGAAGCCGGCGGTCTACACATCAATCTAACAGATCTCGACTTCCCAGATGACATTCAAAAGGGCCTGAACGCCCTCACCACCGCACTAAATGCAACCTTTGTCCTGTACTGTATCGGCATCGCCGCAGCCGGCATAGCGATTCTCACCGCGCTAATCGCATTCTTCCTCTCGGGCTCGCGCCTCACATCATTCGGCAACCTGGGCCTCACATCGCTCTCCTTCTTGGCGCTGCTCACCGCGTCTATAATCGTCACCGTCATCATGAACAAGGCCACTCACCTGATCAACAAATACGGCAATGACATCGGGCTGTATGCGTATAAGGGCGGCAAATACCTGGCAATCACATGGGTGGCTGTGGCGGTCATGGCACTTGCGAGTCTTTCCTGGATCGCGGAGTTTTGTGTTGGGCGGAGGAGGACTGGGAGGGAGTTTTCGGAGAAGGGGACGAGGGGCTGGGGAGGCTGGAATCGGAGAAGGAGTGATGAGGCTGCTTTGAGGAGGAGTGGTGTTTAAGCAGGTTGGTAGGTTATGTGATGATGAATGATATCAAGAAGTCTATGATGGGGTGGCTGGTCTGGTTTGATATTTGCACCTAATATCATAGATGTGTGTCTGTTACTATACCCGGCGGTTTGAATGCGCGTTTTACGTTATATGAGGAGCGACGATCGGAGCGTGCGTGGATTTCAGCTTAGATACCCTTTATAACGACATCTTTACATATTACATATCAGCGTTTCTATTTATTTGCAAACTTACTTCTTCTCAAGTCCCTCTGCGTGATTCTTTTCCCTTCGGCGAACGTTCACTCCCTTGTGGGATTATGTCAGCGAACAACCTATTCCCAACCCAACCACACTCGCGTTTCGGGTTATTACAATATTCATAGAAATCTGCCTGTAGTATCGACTCAAAATATATAGTAGATAATACTGTACTTCTCTCTCTCTAGCTTCACATCCATTCCCTAGATTTCGCCATCATAGGGCTTGGCTTTCGTTACATAACTTACTTATTTTTAGCTCGTAGCTCGTAGATCTCAGGGGAGTATATATACATACAATAATATATTTCTATTTCTACTATAGTTATCAGCATCCTCTCTTCGTCGAGGTCAAGTTAATCCTTCAGCCCAGCTGGACATTTCTTTTCACCTCAGATCCTCTCAGAGGTCGGCGATATGTTCGGTTGCAATGAGCAAGTGCTGAGAGCGATGTCATGACTGAGGGCTGGTTTTCGGCATTATGTTAGGTAGGTAGGTATGTTGTTCTGGTAAATAAGGTATGCTGTATACTCACGCCTGATCGTCGGTGAATAATAAATAGCCTCTTTGACATTTTCATTGTGTTAGTCAATTATTCTCTTTCCATCCCTTACAAGAGAATCCCTTCTCTTCGCATACTGTACTATACCTATTCTCACCGCTTCCACGACTCCCAAGTATATTCTTCCCACTCCTGCTGCTTTGCACACCAAATTATCTTATGATTATTATTATCCGCTCGGACATCAAGCAAAATGTCACATCCAGCCCCGTCCAATCTATTCCCCGCCAACCAACCGATCTCGTCGTCACCGTGGCGTTCTAATCGACGGCAGACTCCAGAAGCTGCACATCCCTAAGGGGAAAACGGGAAGGTATAGTCCCAGACCTGTTCTCGTTCCCCCCGCGAATCCTAGGATGGATAGGTAGTACGAGGAGGTAGAGGTAGAGAGCGAGAAGTGGATTTGCAGGTACGTACGTACGCAAGCATGCATCGATCCATGTATGCCTAGGTCCAGATAGTACGGCGGACAAGTTCATTGGCTTGTGTTTATCTACATGATGGTGTTTTATAGGTAGGGTTATCGACGCAGATGCAACGCTCAGTGCGGATATCGCTGCAAGGGATTTCTAGCTATTTCATGGCTGATGCGGCTGAGGAAGAGTACCGCGCTCTGTGTGTCGGTACGTTATCATGCAAGCAACGTATTCCTTTATATCAAAACGCTACCTTTGAAATACGTCGTTGAAACACCTCACTGATCTGATATCAACCATCAACCGTGGCAGGTAGATCTTTTCACTCCACAATCGTAAGTCTCAAGCTATCTATCTCCCTCCATCTTCTCCAGGTTTCCATTTCAAGAACTCATCCTTCTTAGGATTCGACAATAGCGATGTTGAGAATAACCCCGTTAGTGCCCGGAAACTAGCAGATGCGCTGATCCGTAGTATGAGGATACACCGAGCTAGTGATACTTCTATCAAAGTCTCTTACGCCGGACCTGGTATACTATACACCCTCAAATCTCCGACACATGAATAGACCGCACACCCAGGTATTAATCTAATCCCCCAGACTCCTCACCCCTCCCCTCAATCCCCGAAAACCAACCCACAACATACCAGATATCCAGCAACGCTCCGCCAATTCCATGCAAGTTCAGATTTCATTATTCATCGCATCGTAGATGTTTATAAGCAGCCTCAGGGGAAATGGGGGAGGTCTAGCTAACATGCTAGAATAGGCTTAGTGGTGGATTCTGGAGTTCCGAATAAGATGGTGGAGATAAATCGTTGGCCGGTGCAAAGTTTGATACATGGCATTATGACAGCAATGTATTGAATGTACAATTAATTTATGTATTTTTTTTTTTTTCTTTTTCTGCGTTGAGTCTAGAACGCCATTGGGGCATCTCATATATATGCCTCATAGACCAATGTTGGTCCTAAGCATACCTACTTCTTGCTACGCCCTCCTTTGTTTCATAATCACCGCTCGTAACTCTCATCCACCAACTCATCTCATCCCAGACCTAAACATGCACAGCTTGTGAAACATGAGGATAAACCGCCACCATCCTTTGCCATAGATCCGGATACTCATTAATCAACACTTGCGGGTCAAACGCCATGGCTACAAAAAATGTCGCCATTCCGCTCTTAATCGGTACCAAGAAGATGTTGCAGATCTGCAATCCGATCAAGAAAGCGAAAGCCATGACTACGGCGGTAAAAGCATTTCCGTCGTTGTAGGCTGGTTTTGTAAACTCGAGGTAAAGGTAAGCTAGGAAGGAGCAAACGTATGCCACAAAGACGGCGCCCATGGTCAGAACAGGGTTGATGAGGCACTCGTTCACGAGAGCGTCGACGCCACGGTCTTTCATCATTGTCCAAGTTGTCTGAATCTTTGTTAGAAAGGGTGAGTTATCAAGGAAGACTGAAATACCTTTGCAGCTGGAATATATGCTTTTCCGTACAAAGCAATGTACGAGAATGCGTACTCGTTGATGAACTGAATCGCCCAGTCCAGTATCCCAATGAAACAGCCTAAGATGCAGAAGAGAATTGACCCAACAATATTACCTTGAGCAGCTTCATTCTGCTGAGCAATCGAACAGGCTTGACGAAGACATTGGACGATTGCTACAATCAAACTTCCAAAGCTGATACTGCCGAAGCTATAGGTCATGGAACGTTTGAAAGCTCCTCTCGTGGCTCTCTTTGGGAAGCCTCCTGGCGTTTGAGCGCAGAAATACCAGGATCCGTAGACCCCAGATATGGTGACGTGAATTACATTCTTGATGACTTCTGTGATCCAATAAGCAGCAAAGGTAATAAAGGCGATCAATCCAATAACCTTAGCCTTGCTGCAGCCACCAGCACCGTCAACGCTGCAACCAGGCCCTCCAGGGTAGTATTTCGCGTATATCGCAACCAACGTCACCGAGAACCAAGCTCCAAATGCCGTGGCAATAAGTCCCCCGATCAAAGAAACAATAAAGACATGCCCGTAGTTTTTCGAAACATCAATGACGGTCTGGAGCATCAAGACGGAAAAGGGAATTCGAGGAATCCAGCTTATGAAGCAGACGATATAAAAGACAGTGAATACGAGGTAAACGATGGCTCCACTATAGTAATGTCTGGCGAAATAGACAATGGCGGTCCCTAGGCCGAAAACGACTTGGAGGATGCCAGTAATCCATATAGCCCTGTGATTCTGATGAGCATCTACGTCGAACAATGTCTTGAGTGTCTTACTGCTTGGTGAAGGCTCGGATGATCCAGAAATATACAAACGACAGGACAAATGCCACCGCCAATACAAATGCACTGCCGTAGCATCAGCGTCTGAGTTCACTTTTATTTTTGAATTGAATACTCACAATAGAATTATGGTATTTGTATTCAAAGCCAAAGTCGTCACGCCAGAGTCATAAATGCCTCCGCCCTGAGCTCCCTTTGTCGAACTGTACCCATAGATGGAAAGTCCCGAGACGGCGGTGAATCCTGCAAAGGTGGCAAGGAACAGCAATGCTGCCCATATATCGTTGTACTTTGGCCTATCGACCTGGAACTTCTGCTGAAAGTCCTGTTTCTCGTTGTTATTTGCTTGTTGGCCGTATTGCGGAGGCTGTTGTGGGTATTGCTGAGGTTGGTTGGGTTGTTGTTGATAGGCTTGTGGGGGGTATTGTTGTTGCTGCTGCTGCTGGATGCCGATATCTTGCTGTCCTTGCTGGTAGTAATTGGGACTACCGTTCTTCTGGGGCGGGTAAGACATGTTGACTGGCTGGGTAATTGGTACTCGGACTCAGCTATAAGTCTGCTTGTGAGGGATGTTAGGAGGAGGGAGAGGCAGGGGGAAGAAAGAGTAAAGATGGAAAAGAGGGAAAGAGCATGGGAGAGAAATCAAACGCCAAGGGAACAAGGTTCGTGCACGCATGTATACAATAGTACCTGCGGTAGTAGTGTCGTCACTTGTTCTTCGTGGCTTGATGGGGATCGACGTACAACGCTAGAGAATGTCTCATAATCTTCTGATTCACTTGGCATTTGAATTGCTTGAATCGAGACCAATCACGAAGAAGCAGAAGCGGGACCTAGGTATGTTCTGGTTGTTTGCTTTTCATTCTCATAAATGAATGATCGAGACACTGCACTTACGGTACTTCCCTTCCCTTCCCTTCAGCTTGACATGGCATGCATGGATGTTGATAAATCAAGGCAAGGCGGCCGCTAATGCACGCCATGCAAGGTTTGGATCGACATCATGCCCAATCAGGAGCTATTAGCGAATTAGGGTTCACTGGAGTGGGGGATGAGGTTGAAGCTCTGACCAACGGCGAACTCACATCCCGGGTCTAGCCATACTTTAATTTTCACTTAATCTTAACATTTCTACGTGTAGGAAGATGTAGCCCACCCAGAGTGATTTCAAGTGTTCATTATATATGACACTGGCTGAGGTCGACTACAAATTGGTGAAATGCGAGCAAGTCCTTTTCTTCTCTCTCCCCCTCTCCCTCTCCCTCCCT